CTTTCACCCACCTCTCCCCTCTTAACGCATCCATTCCCTCTCCCTTTTCCCTCCTGCCCCGTCCTATTATACCTCCCTTCCCGTCCCCCTCTAATCCCCTTATTTCCCCCTCCTCCCCTTTTCCTTCCCTCTCCTTTCCCCTCTTCTACCCTCATTTCCCCCACCCCTTTCTAACTCCCTCCCATTCGATTATTTTGCCTCCTGTCATTCTCCTTTCGTCTCCCCTTTCCCTCTTCTCGTCCTTTCACCCCCATTTCTTCCTCCTTTCCCTTCTTTCCCCCTCATTTCAGTTCCCCCTCCTTTGTCCCTCCTTTACCCCTATTCTCCCTCTCCTTTCGCCCTCCATTCCCCCTGCTTGTCTTCTCCTGTTCCCGTGCTCTCGCCCGCCCTCCAACCCCCTCTTCCCTCCTCTTCCCCTCCGTGCAACCACCTTCCCTCACTTCCCCATCTGCCTCTAAACCCCCTCCTCATTGTCTGCGGGTCTCCTGCTTTCCCCCTTGTGTCCCCCTGCACCGCTGCTGCCCCGCGCCTGCCCCACGTGTGTGCGCATGGGGCGGCGGGGGCGGAATGGCGGTGGGGACTACAGGCGGCAGGGAGGGCATGGCCGCGGATTATTGTGCTGCCACCCGCACCAACCCCACCATCACAACCTGCCACCGCCCTTCATAATGCTGCCATCGCCTGCCCATGCACCAAACCTGACCTCGCACCCTCTTCCGCCCTCCTTTCCCTCTGCCTTCCACCTCCCTCTCCTCCTCCTCTCTCCTTCATTTCCCTATTCTTTTCCACTCCATTTACCCCCTTTTACCCCTCTTATCGCCCACCATTCCTTCCCCCTCCCTCCTGACCTCCTCCTATCCACCTCCCTACCGTCTTCCTCATCTCCCCTTGCTTCCCCCTCTATCGCCCTCATTTTCCCCGCCCCTTCCTAATCCCCTCCCCTTTCCGTCTTTTGCCTCCCGTCATTCTCCTATCCTCTCCCCTTCCCCCCCTTTCCCCTCCTTTTTCCCTCCTTTCCCTCTCCTGCCACCCTCCTATCAACCCCCCGTGCCCCTACTTTTCCTCTACATTCCCCCTCCACCCCCCCTACTTTCCTTCTTCTGTTCCCCTCCTTTCCCCCTCCGTCCAACCACCTTTCCCTCATTTCCCCATCTTCCTCCAACCCCCTCCTATTCGCCTGCCTGACTCCTTTCACTTCTCACTGCTTTTCCTCGAATCCCCCTCCCTTCCCCCTCCCATTCCTCATTCCACTCCCTTTTCTTCCCCCGCCTTTCTCCCTCCTTCCTCCCTCCTTGCCCCTTACTTCCCTCCTCCTTTCCCTCTCGTTTTCCTCTCCTTCCTTCTCATTTACCCTCCCTGCCCACTTCGATTCTTTTCCTATTCCACTGCACGTCTCCTCCTTTCGCGCTCATTTTTTCCCTTCCCGTGTCCCCCTTTTTTCCCTCCTTTCCTCCTCCATCCCCCCCCCCTTTCCCCCTCGGCCCCCGCTCCTTTCCCCCTCCGTCCCCCCTCCTTTCCCCCTCCGTCCCCCCTCCCCCCCTCCGCCCCCTCTCCTTCCCCCCTCCGTCCCCCCTCCTTTCCCCCTCTGCCCCCCTCCTTTCCCCCTCCGTCCCCCCTCCTTCCCCCTCCAGCCCCCCTCCTTTCCCCCTCCGTCCCCCCCCTTTCCCCCTCCGTCCCCCCTCCTTTCCCCCCTCCCCCCCCCTCCTTTCCCCTTCCGCCCCCCCTCCTTTAACCCTCCGTCCCCCCTCCTCTCCCCCTCTGCCCCCCTCCGTGCGCGCTCCTCCGCCCTGCTGCCTCACCCCTTGCTCGGGTGCTGGCTTGGGGCAGGCAGAGGCGAGGGCGGGGCAGGCGGCAGGGGAGCAGCGGCAGGCAGGGGAGGGTAGGGCGGGGATGCAGCCACGCGTGCCTCAACGGGGCTCTCCACTCGCCCTCAACCCACACCTGCTGCTCCAAGCCCCTGCTGCCCGCCTGCTGCCCTCTCCCCCCCCTCCCTCCTCACCACGCCCATCCCCACGCTGCGCCCTCCACTCCCCCACGTCAGTTGCTTGCCGCGGCTGACCCACTTGGGCCTCTCACTTGCTGCTGCACCTAGGGTGGGGTGCGAGCACAGGACAATCCAAACTCTCAACCCCCCAAACCCGCTCCTCATGCACGCACCTCACTGGGCATGCCACTGCACTGCACGGCTAGTTGAATCTGTGCTTCCCTTATCCACTTGTCACTGCTTGCTAGTATAGTAGGCACGCTTGAAGCCTACGGTACACTGGATACAGGTAGCCACCGAATGTCATGGCAGGACCTAGAGCATTGCTGCCATGCCATGCTGCCTACTGTACTCTGTCCATTCCTTGCACCCATTTGCAGTTACGCCAAGTGTTGGGGCCTTCAGTATTGGGGTGTCAGGTTGCCTTCCACTACCAACTTTCTACCCATGCTAATCCTTCCCAACTGCCCCACTCCACTCCCATCCTTGAAGCTTGCAGCAGCAGCGCATTCTCAGCACAGCACCGCTCCACCTTGCCCTCACCTCCTTCAACTTGCAACCGCCATGCACCCACCCGCACTCCCACAAACGGCCTGCTGTGAAGCAGGGCGCAAAAAAGGGCCGTGCCACCGTGTTGCCTTGCCCATCCCCACCACGCCCATCCTCCTCCCCATCACTCCCACTTGCTGCTCCCCTTCTTGCTCTACTCTGCTGTGCTTACCTGCCTTCCACCCCTCCACCCATCTCATCCTCAACCCTCCCCCCCCCCCCCCTTTGCTCCACTGTTTTTATTCTGTATTTTATTTTACCAAGAGTCAGGCAAATCAAGGAATGTGCGCTTTGGCCCGTCATACTGCAAACAATCGTCAACCCTTCTTTCTTCTCTTCTCAGCTCTTTCACCTCTTTTTTGTGATGCTGTCTGTTTTCTTTTTCCTCTCTGTTGTATGTTGCGAGAGTCAAGGCCGTCAAGGCCGCCATGGGCGCTTTGGGGGGGCAGTCAGCGCGCCTTGGCCGTTCTGCGAGGCGCCTTCACTGCGCCTTCACCTTCCACTCGCCGCACCTCCCTGTGTGCTACGGCACATCGAGGCCTGGGAATGAGTGTCGCTCCCTCCACGCGCCGTATCCCTGCTCCCGTGTTGCGCGGCTTCGAGATGCGCGATGGGGGGACCCACATCGTTGACTGCGTTGCTACTGCTTTGCTGCCACCACATGTCGGTGGTGACCACCATGAAGTCTCCGTCGCAGCACTTTCCGTCGCAGCGGTTTCCGTGGCAGCGGGTTCCGTGGCAGGTGATCCTGGCGCTGCACATTCCGGCGCACCAGAGTGTGGCGCAGCTGACTCCAGCGCTGCGGAGTCTACCGCCGTAGTTTCCAGCGCATCCGAAGCGGCATAGTCGCACGCTGCAGTTTCCAACGATGCACGATCCGACGCGCCTGAGTCATACGCTGCACATTCCCACGCACCACTTTCCCACGCCGTCGCATCTTGCTTGCACCCCGCGGCGGCGTGAGTGCGATGAGCGGTGTTGGTGTTGTCGCTCAGCGGCTGTACGCGCCGTGATGCCCTCGACGTCTCCCTGTCGAGGCTCTTCCAGAAGCTCAGCGCTGCAGGATACGACGACTCGCACACTGAGGCCATGCTGAGGCAACGAGAACGCGACCGGGAAGGCTGAGAGGTTTTAGTAAGACCAAAAAGTGTAAGCTGGAGAGGGTTAAGAGGAATGAGAGCGTGAGGTGATGCTTTGCACTAGGCAGGTGCGAGGGTGGCGAGTGGAGAGCGGAGGAGAGGCAGAGCAAGAAGCCTTGGGGTCGTTGGGGGGGGGGGGGGGGGGGAGGAGGAGACAGGAGGGCAGCACGGTGTGTGCGCTGCGGACAGATCGAGGCCGAAAACGAGTGCCTTAGGATCTGGCTTCGGTGCACTTGGGTAAAATCAGCTTCGCGCGCAGTTCTGTGCGCTAAAAGGGAGACGCTCCCGAACTCCTTGCCTGAACTGGTTCGGCCTGACTTGTTGTGCCAAACCACTCTCGAATCGCCCCGTAACCTCGCAGATCTTCCGAGCCAGATTTTGCCCTTGGTTTTCGCCAAGCCTGTTCGCCATACCTTGTGTTACGGGGTACTTTCCTGTTCAATGGTAGTGTACCCTATACATACCCCCAACCTTATCCCAACCCTATCTTCATCCAATCCCTTTGGGATTTCCTTGGATTTCCTAGATTTCCCAACCGCCACGTGGCACTCTAGTCTTCTTGCTTTACAATTCCTTGTCCCACGAACTACTTTCCAACAATCGCTCTTGCATGCTACTTAAACCTTGCTTGTACTTGCCATTATCAACCAATTCTCGTTCAACTCTTTCATTACTCAGTAACTCCTCGCCAAAAGTTCCTCGCCAAAGTCTTCCGCCGCGCTTCATCCTCGACTTAGTCGACCCCGCTAATTCTTTAGCGGACTTAGGCCAGCGGGCCTAACACCTGCATCGCAAAGTACAATCTGATTCATTAAAACTAGATAAACAGTAATTTCACAATGCTATTAGGACAAGATTTGTATTTTAGCATATTCAACTTATTAAATGAAGTTCTTTGAAACAGGTTAGCGATTTACATTTCAAGAAATCAGAACGAGCATAGTTTAAAATATCGAGTATCGCTTAAGTGACTTACGCTTCACTTGAATTATAACACGTTGTTGGAATAGCAATAAATGGTTACAAGTGTAGAACTGTAAGGAATTTACTCGACATTCTTGACCGCGACCTGCAACATCGCGTATAGCAGCAGCCATTGTTCGCTCGTTACTATCAAACTGTAATCATGTTTGTGCTGTGTAGGCTGTAGTGGGGTAGCTCGTATAGGGTACAACCCAAATTAGGGTTAGTACTTGTACCCACATTTCTGCTCTCCCCTCAAGGGGCCCAGTTCTTGCACGGCCCACCACTATTCTCCCGTGTCCAGCGGTTCCGTCTTCACCTCCCCTAGTTCTCGATGAACTTGGTGAGTACCGCTGTTCTCGAGGATGCACTGGTTGATACCTTTTACTCCTGGAGGGCACGTGCTCCCGGACCGAACATCACCTGGCCACATTGAGACGTCGGCCAGGGTCAAGTCTGTACACACTGACTACTGCGCATCCTCGGGTAGCTGCCTCTGGTTAGGTGTCCGCGTTAGGTCAGGTAGCCACCCCTTGCTCGTGTCGCCTCCTGTCGCACCAGACTCTCCTTTGGCACCACCGCCTTGGTCACCCCTCCCTGCCACGCCTCCGTGGCATGCACTCCCGCCTCCTTGTCTCTGGTCTTCCCAGGTCACTGCCCGCCTCCAAGCGCTCCCCTGCCCCACCCTGTCTTCCCTGCGTTGAGGGGCGGAAGCACGCCGCTCCTCACTCCTCGTTCCCTCCCACAGAGGCTCCCCTGCAGACTCTCCACATGGACGTGTGGGGCCCAGCCCGCATCCGTGGACTGGACCGCGAGCAATATTCTCTACTGGTTGTCGACGACTACACGCGTTACACCACGGTCTTCCCCTTGCGCAGCAAGGAGGAGGTCCTTGATGTCTTTATGTCCGCCTCCAGCTTCGCGAGCGTTTCCACACGGACCATCCTGTCCTGCATCTGTACTCTAACAGAGGTGGTGAAATCTCCTCCGACCTCTTGCGGGACTTTTGTCGTGGGGAGGGCATCCTCCAGTCGTTCACGCTTCTGGCCTCCCCGCAGCAGAATGGGGTTGCTGAGCGCCGCATTGGCTTAGTCATGGAGGTCGCTCATACCTCCATGATCCATGCGGCTGCTCCCCATTTTCTGTGGCCATTTGCGGTCCGGTACGCTGAGCATCAGCTCAACCTCTGGCCCCGTGTCTCCATACCGGAGACCTCGCCTATACTGCGTTGGATGGGGAAGGTTGGCGATGCGTTGGTGTTCCAGGTTTGGGGCTCTCGTGCCCTTGTCCGCGATACGTCTGCGGACAAGCTCTCCTCCCGCGCCATTCCCTGTGTCTTCCTTGGCTTCCCCCTTGACGCGCCTGGCTGTCAGTTTTACCACCCCACCTTGCGTCGTATTCTGTCCCCTTTGACGAGTCGGTTCCCTTTTACCGTCTCTTCCCCTACCGTACCGCCCCTCTCCCCCCCTTGCCGCTCTTCCTTGCTCCAGATCCCCCTCAGGTAGACCCCCGCCCCACTTAGGGTCCTGCTCCTTCAGGTGTGTCTTAGGTAGAACCACTCCCCTTCATTGAGCCTGTCGAGGTCACTGGTAACTCTAGTGCTGCTCAGGGTGCTGCGTCTCGGTGTGCTGAGCCTGGGGGTGCTGAGCCTGGTGGTGCGGAGCCTGGGGGTGCTGAGCCTGAGCGGGTGGAGTGTGGAGGTGCTGAGCCTGAGTGTGCGGAGCCTGGGGGTGCTGAGCCTGGGGGTGCGGAGCCTGGAGGTGCTGAGTCTGGGGGTGCTGAGCCTAGAGGTATTGCTTCTACACCATGGGAGCCTCTCTCTCCCTGGAGCTGCTAGTCCTGGAGGTGCTCGTACTGGAGGTACTGGAGCTGCCGGAGCTACCAATACTTGTGGTGCAGGTGGTGCTGTCACTACTGGCCCCGGAGGTGCTCGTATTGGAGGTACCAGAGGTTCTCGTATTGGAGGTACCGGAGGTGCTCCCTCACCACAGCAGCTACGCGAGTGGTACACTCAGCGGTCCCGCATTCGGAGTGGCGCTGCTGGAGCTGGAGGCACTGCGGCTGGAGACGCGGGGGCTGGAGGTACCGGAGGAGCTAGTCTTGGAGGTGCTCGTACTAGAGGTACTGGAGCTGCCGGAGCTGGTGGTGCTGCTGGTGCTGGAGGTGCTAATGGTGCTGGCACGGCTGGTCCCAATGGTGCTTGTACTGGAGCTGGAGGCGCTGGAGCTGGAGGCGCTAGAGCTGGAGGCACTGGAGCTGGAGGTGCTGGAGCTGGAGGCACTGGAGCTGGAGGCACTGGAGCTGGAGGCACTGGAGCTGGTGACCCGGGAGCTGGAGGTGCTGGAGCTGGAGGCACTGGAGCTGGAGGCACTAGAGCTGGAGGCAGTGGCGCTGGTGACCCGGGAGTTTGAGGTGCTGGATCTGGAGGCTCTGGAGATAGAGGCGCTGGAGCTGGAGGTTTCGGAGCAGCTGGAGGCCCTGGAGCTGCTGATACTAGCACTGGAGGTGCTAGTGCCGAAGGAGCTGGTCCTGGTGGTACTGCACAGCCGCAACTGTTCTTCGCTCCGTCGTCACCGTCGTCTCTGCCGCCAGTAGACTCCGTGCTTCGCAAGGTTCTTAGCCTCCCGTCTTCTTTTGGCCTCCCGTTACAGCCAGGCTCCCCACTGCCTGCTCCTTCTCCTAACATTGAGCAACCAGACTCGCATACAGAGCGTCGTGAGCCTGCGACTCGTCCTGCCTCACCTGTTTGCACTGTTCGCACTGGTCGTCGTGTTCCTCGTCAGCGTCCTCCTCCTGTCCCTAGCACTCACACCATGACACTTCGTCCTTCCTCTGTTCCACAGCATGTTCCCATGGCGTCTCTTCCGACGTCCTCTCTTCAGCACGTTCCGGAACCCTGATTCTGACCTCGTCGTGCTGCCAGCCCTACTGTCACGTGTCTCCTAGCCACTGTTGACCCTCATTTGAGTCCGCTGTGATGGAAAGCGTGCGAATCTGGAGAGCGTAACAAGAGATTAAGTCCGCCGACTTCGGCGAAACATTGCGTGCAGCTCACGTAACCTAGAACGATGAGCAGGTACGCGTTAGAAAGGTCTTAATCTCTACTTTCCAGAATGGTAAAGCACGCCTTCAACCAAGATCTAGGCCGATCGCTATCGCGATTTATGTGCGACGGGGTATCCTGGCGGAATCACTTGGCAGCCATGGATTAGATCTAGGAATGACATAAGCAAGAGTTCAGATCTGAAAAGTGACGAGTTGGTCAAACCCTACCAACCCAACCCTCGCCCTACAACAATCCCCAACAACCCAAAGTGCCAAACTAGCAACACCAAAGGTGTTGTAGTTGGTAACAAAGGTTTGTTGGTGCTTGTTGGGTGCGAGTTCAAATCCAGCCCGCAACAAGTCCAACCACCACATTTTGCCCAAACCCTTAGCCCACAACCAGCTAGAGCAAAATACCACAACCACCTACACAATCAACACGCTGCTGCGTCTGCCCTGGTCGCTGAGCTTGTTGAATTTGCTGCTGCTTGTCGTCTCAACTACTTCACTAGTCTTGTTGCTGAGTCTGAGTTCGTCTGTCCCTTATTCGTTGGGGGTGAGTGTGCTCTCGGCACGGACGTCCTTGAGGACAGGTGGGAGGACTTTGAGTGTCTTTGAGTTTCCGCTGTACCTCACCTCCTGGCCATGCTGCTTGCACGTAAGGGAGACCTGGATGCACTGGACATCCCGACCCCGCGCTCTTACGCAGAGGCGATTTCGGGTCCCTACTCCTCTCAGTGGCAAACAGCCATGGACGCAGAGATGGCATCCTGGAAGTCCATAGGCACCTGCTGACGTAGCTCCCCCTCTTGGGGCGAACATAGTCGATGGCATGTGAATTTTCAGGGTGAAGCGGCCGCCGGGTTCTCTGCCTGTCTTCAAGGCTCGTTACGTTGGACGAAGCTTTAGTTAGCGACATGGTGTTGACTTATATAGACCTTCTCCCCTACCCCCAAGATGATCACTCTTCGGGTGCTTCTGCACATTGCTGTAAGAATGTTATTATCTAGCCTGTAGTGGGGTGCTCTATAGCGGGTACAACCCAGTTAGGGTTTGCTATATGTATCCCAACTGCTGCTAGTGAAACCCCTCTTTCGTCATTCTTCTTTTGTACTGCCTACTATTCTGACATGCTATCAGAGCAGGTCGACCCCCTTGGGTCGATCCTGTGGGTGGGCCCGCCACCTATCTTCTTCCGCTGATGTTCTGCTTCTCGCACGCCTCGGGCGCGCGCCGTCTTCTTCCTGCCGTGCGCTCGGGGCGCACGGCGAGTTTCTGCCCGCCGTGCGCCCCGAGGCGCGCGGCGGTTTTCTGCCGTGGGGGACCTGCGCGCGACACCCCGCCCTTCTTGTCGCGGCGCCCTGGGGGATCCGCGCGCGCCCCCCCCCCCCCCCCCGCCATCCCGTCGCCCGTCGTGGCGCCCTCTCCCGTCGCCCATCGTGGCGTCGCGGGGGCCGCGCGTCCCCCCCATCCCATCGCCCGTCGAGGCGCCCCGGGGGCCGCGCGTCCCCCCCCCGTTCGCGTCGTCACGTCGCGACGCCCTGGGGAGCCGCGCGCGGCCCCCGATTCCCCGTCGCGCCGCCCAATGGAGCCGCGCGCGGCCCCCCGCTGCCCCGTCGCGGCGCCCTGGGGAGCTAGCGCGGCCCCTCGCTGCCCCGTGGTGGCGCCCTGGGGGCCGCGCGCCGTCCCCCTCGCCGTCCCCCGCGCTCCTACCCCAAGCCACCCGTTTTAGGGTTTGGGGGTGAGGAGTGTGGGGATGGCGGTTGTGGGGGTGCCTGTTGTGTGCGCCGTCCCCTCCTCCTCCTCCTCCTCCTCCTCCGTCTCCCGCTGCTGCAGCTGCCGCTCAGGGGGGTGGGTGTGTGGGGAGCCGAAGGAGTGGTGCTAGGGGGGTGACGTGGGAGTGGAGTTAGGGGTTCAGCAGGGGGTGTGTGTCAAGGGTGTGGGTCAGTTGGAGGAGGTTGTGTGGAGGTAGCTGTCGTGTCGCCTGCAGCGCCTGTAGTCCGTCGCCCTTGCTTCGGTAGCCAGTGAGCCTGTTGCACCAGTCGCCAGTGGGTCCGTTGCTCCTGCCGCTCGTCTTAGCCGCGGAGCCAGTCACTCCAGTAGTCTGTTGCCCTTGCTTCGGTAGCCACTGAGTCAGCCGCTCCTGTGCCCGTGCCTCTGCAGCTTCAGTCGTTGCCTCCCATCTTCTCTCCTTCCACAGTTCCTCCTCCTCCTCACTTGCCCGCTGTGATTACCTCTAGCTTTGCTTATTATTGTGAACTCCTGCTATGCCTGCTCATTGTGCTGATTACACCCCACTTTGGCTATGGGGGTGTGTCAGAATGTTATTATCTAGCCTGTAGTGGGGTGCTCTATAGCGGGTACAACCCAGTTAGGGTTTGCTATATGTATCCCAACTACTGCTTGTGAAATCCCTCTTTCGTCATTCTTCTTTTGTACTGCCTACTATTCTGACAAATGCCGCTCAGCGTGACTACGAGCTTCACTCTCTTGACTTCAGCACAACTTTCTTACAGGGCAGCTTGCACGAGGAGATCTGGCTGCGCCGTCCACCTGGCTTCACTGGGTCGTTTCCTGCAGGTACCTAGTGGAGCCTCCGACGGCCAGTCTACGGTCTCCGCCAGGCGCCTCGTGAATGGCACGACACACTGAGGACGACACTTGCGGCGCTTAGGTTTGCTCCTTTGACTGCAGACTTGTCGCTGTTTCTGTGCACCGACACTTCGCTGCCGCCGTTCTACATCGTCGTGTACGTCGACGACTTGGTCTTTGCCACTGCTGACACTGAGGCACTCGCCCTTGTGAAGTCAGAGCTGCAGAAGAGACACACGTGCATAGACCTGGGTGAGCTGCGCAGCTACCTTGGCTTGCAGATCATCCGGGACAGAGCACGCCGCACCATCATCCTGACTCAGTCACACATGGTGCAGCAAGTCCTTCAGCGCTTCGGCTTCACTTGTTCCTCGCCACAGTCCACTCATCTGGCTACTGGTCATCCGCTCTGAGCTCCACCTTCGGACGAGTCCGTAGAGCCGAGTGCCCAATATCCAGAGCTGGTGGGCTGCCTCATGTACCTGATGACCTGCACTCGTCCTGACCTTGCGTACCCTCTTGGCATTCTAGCACGCTACGTGGCTCCCGGTAGACACCGAAAGGTGCACTGGGATGCTGTGAAGAGGGTAGTGCGTTATTTGTGCATTATATCGGGCCTGAGGCTCGTGCTTGGATGGCGGGGTCCAATGGTCCTCACTGGACACACAGACGCGTCTTGGGTGGAAGACATGGCTACGCAATATTCATCACAGGGTACACGTTCAGCCTTGCACACCTTCAGTGTCACCACCCCTAGCAGCAACGGAGTCCACAGTGGCGGTGGGGGAACAGACAATACTAGCAAACCGAGTGATCAAAGGTGATGTCGCGGAAGGACAAGACACGGTGCTTACCCGGATGGTAAAACAGCCAAGGTGGCTTGTCGTCAGGAAAGCCAAGGAAGACGTAGCGAATAGTGTGAGGAGAGAGCTTGCCTGCAGTAGTATCGCGGACAAGGGCAAGCGAACCACAGACTCGAAACGCTGACGCATTGCCAACCTTTCTCTTCCAACACAGTGTAGGCGAGGTCTCTGGCTTGGAGACATGGGGTCAGAAGACGCAGCACGTGCTTGGGAGTTAAAACTGACTAAGAGGTTTTGGCGGAATCGTGCACTCAGCTGGGAACCGTCATCTCCTTCAGCAGTATTAAACCGAAGGACGGGGAAGACCCACCTGCGTCTCCTGATCCATTTGCAGATGCAGCTGTTTGAATATGGCTGGCAAAGGTCATACGAGAGCAAGGTAGTATTGATGCAAAGGGCTGCTGCGTATCACCACCTCCACTTTGTAAGTATGATCTACTGTTGTTACCGCTTTCCATCTCCCTAGCATTAAAATTTTGGTCACTGAGATCAAAGAGACTATAGGTTGTAGGAAAAAAGTAATCTCTCCTGCTCTCATACCATGTTGGGCTAGTAATAGCCTTAGGATCTTTTAGAGTTAAGTCTTGATTAGTGTTGTAGCGGAAGCCTGTCAATTCATATGCTGGTTGATTGTCAACACACTAATTGATAATAATGCAAAATAACAAGGATTTTGTAGTCTAGCAAAGAACCTATTTTTTTATGTACATGTTTACTAATTGACCTATTTTATCGAGTCGACTCCTATCTTTGTGTCTATTGTAATTTTCACGTTGGCATCGAATATGGGTGAGGCCACGAATGTACCCATTCGCAAGTATTTGCTAGTGGCATCATTCTCGCCACTCAATGAACTAGAAATGATCATATTGGGTATGGTGAAAATGGCAAAAATTGACTACGTTGACCGCGTGATACCCACGCACTTTCATGGTAAGGGGAAAAAAAAAAAGTTCTCTCTCAAAAATCGCTTCAATTTTGTTATAATAACCTGCAAATCCCATATTTTTCCTATGGATGGGAGGGTCGTATAATGATTCTACTATAAAAGGGGGGTATAACTACAAACGAACCATATAGATTACTTCGTATTAT